CAATTAAATTTCCTGTTCAATTAGTGGTAACACGCACGTTTACACCTAAGTGAGAAGAAAGCCCCTGGGATGTTCTTACAAACACATTGTTTAGTAAAAGTCCAACCCATTACTATCTAGCATAGCTCGTGTGTAATTAGGAAAGTGCTAAACACCTCACCACTATGACCTCGTTTAATCCTGACCTTTGAAATAAGTCGAAACTTCATGGTGTATGTTTCTCAAACGTATATAGGAGAAACAAATGTAAGAGAGTAGCATTCCTTCCATTTAATAATCTACCTAAGTTGTCATTACAGACACAAAATTGTTTATTCACGAAGATCATACAGGTGAATAGAACCCAACGTTTAATAGTTATTTAGTATTATACACAGTATAGGCAAATAATGAGCCAAATTGCTTCTGGAAGGTGTTCATCTATCTTATACCTCGTCAATGATGCTATATTTGTATTCAATTCCCTAAAACATTCCTGAGTTTTACTTTACAGAAAGTACATAAGAACAGCGTGAGTAGGTGCTTGAAAAAATCGCAATTGATCCAGGCTTAAGTGCACGATATCAAGGAAACACTTTCGTTGCAATTTACCACGAAATGAGTGGTGTTGACGGACGAGAAACCTCCAACAAAGCATGATTTACATACATAAAAGTCTGTTATCAAAAGGTTTTACGTTTTTGCATGTTTTTCTATCAAGGTAAACAAACAAGTTTTGTCGCCTAATAATTCTTTTGATTTTGATTTTGGAACATGTTTGTTTGATTATAATGACAACATAAATATGTGGTATTGTATCGTTAACAAGCATTTAGCAATAAGGGTCAATCAAATCAAAGAAAAAAAAACGAAAAACGTGAAAGGTGAAAAAAAAGTTTGGTTTAGACTATTTGCCTGCAGCTTCTATATCACACTACTTATAGATACAAGATATAGGGATGGGGAATGAGAGTCGCAGCTTTTGCTGTCTGTGGTGCTGGAGTGGCATGCAGGGTTTTCAATCAATGTGTTTGGTGTTCCTTTCTGTAAGGTGTAACACGCAATGAAGTATTCTATGTTGTTCTACATGTTTTAAGTATTTGATAGAGCAGTTAATGTGTATACATACACAGAATAAATGAATTCGTTCCATTAAATTGATAATCAAAGTATTAAATGTATAATCGTTAAGCGAAAATTTAAAATCATCCTGCAATGTTATTTCCATTCTCGTCAAATACTGAAGCATACACTGAAAGCTAAAAGTGATACAAAAAAACCGTATTTAAACATATCATCAAAGTATGTCACCGAGTAAATCAAGTTGAAGTGTATCTACAAAAACAGCAAATAAAGCCCAAGTATATCAACACAATCCTGATTCAAACTCAAAATAAAACAATTTAGTTTCCACCGTAATTGATATATAACCTTTATGCACAGATAACACTAATCCATCACGGGCCCACTGTGGATATGATTACATTCATTAAAAACTATACAATTGTATAAAGATTTATGGAGATGCTAGTGCTATTGACGTGAATCATCACGTGGGCATAGTACACAATGTAAAATGCATTAAGAATAGTACACCTTCATATTCATTACTTAGCAATGTAAACATGATCTTACGCAAAAACCTGTGGAATTCACGACTGTTTTAGCCTCATTTTCTCAAAAGAAATTTATTGTTTTTTTAATATACTAATGATGCATAAGGATGAAATTTCATCTTTTCTGTTTAATCATCAATTTTTTTTAATCGTTTTGGAGATGTTTATCTGCACTTTTGTTACATTATTAGCTTGTCTAATTCCTTGCAAATCGTAAGAATGCCGTGATGGACCAGATCAATGAGAGCTATAAGGTAACTGATGAAATTCATAGCATAGATGATATTTTTTCTAATATTCTTCACACTTAAGAACACGTTAAAATACTTTGAATAAGCAATCGCCATTTTGGACTTTCGCATATTTCGTTTATTGCTTTATATGAAGTACATATTCATCAAATTGTTGTAAAAGTCTGTGAGAGAAGAAATACCTAAACAAACCTGAAACATGTTACCATCATAAAACACGCTGATGTTTTGAGTTTGGCACCGTAAGATCTTATTTCAAACATAATGGGAACTTCTTTCGATCTAACACGAAGACTTGAAAATTTTCATTACTGTCGATAATTCACTTTTCTGTCGATTTATATTTCACAATCAGTTTGTCAAAAAGGTCTTAGTTTTTCCGACATGATAAGATATTGTATTTTCAGATTTTTAGATATGTAACATTACAAGCAAAATATCAATATGAAAACGACAAATACTTGCAATGCAAAAAGAAAATTATTTTAAGCAAGACAAAAATGTGTCCCAACGGTTACCCGACTCAAATGAATTCAAGCATTCTTGATCAGCTCAATGTTTGATAGAAACAAACCTCTACGAGGTGAATTTAAGCATTCTTGATCAGTTCAATGCTTGGTAAAAATCAACATCTACGAGGTGAATTCAAGCATTCTTGATCAGTTCAATATTTGATAGAAACAAACCTCTACGACGCCTATTTAGAGAAATCCTAGATTAGAAATTACATTTCAACACTGGGCAAAACCAAGGATTAATAATTCATTATCCCTGAATGAGACACTTATACGTAGCCAAACGGATTTTCAACTCATTCTACATTCTACAAATTTTCAAATATGTCAACGGGGCAAAACTCGAATAAGATTGATTCTAGAATAGGTTCAGGTGATTCGAACCGATCCCAAAAGAATGACAAAATTGTACTTTATATTGTTCCCAACATCCTTCATCGCAAAATGTAAAAACAAACAGTACCGAGAAAGGAAATACTAAAATATGAAGAATATGTCAATCTAACCTCAAACTCTGTGGAACGAGAGCAAACTATAATATATAGAGGAAAGAAAAGGGAAAATAAGACCACGTGTTTTCTGCTTCTTTGCTTACTATCAATCTAAGTAATTAATGTCACGTTCTCAAAATGCGAACAAATGGTGTTGTATCCTTTAAAATCAGTGCAGCTGTACTACAGAAATGAGACCGAGCGGCTATTGATAGGTTATATAGAGAATCAGAATGAATCAGGTAGAAGGCATCATTATCATCATCATCATAATAATCATCCTTACCAGCATCATATCAGCAGCATTAGCAGCATGAATAATTCATGCCACAAACTCTTTCCTATGGAGTTTATAACAAAGGAGACGAATGATCACCAAACATTAATGATATAATTTGGTTACAAACACGCGGCTATCCGATAACATATAAGTGTACATTTACGCTTAACGTCATTTCATGTTGTGTGTTTTGTACTATTGTGCTCATTACAAGGTTAGAACAAGTATAACATTAACGCGATATGGAGAAACGTTATGTTATGTGCCATTTTGTATGATGCAAGGATACAACGTCATCATAACAAAACATAAATGTCGTTGTATATCTATATCCAGTAATGCGTACCTAAGAAACATGACAAATTCCATTCATTAAAGTTATTTTTAACATTTCCTATATTTCTTTAAATATGCAACACAAGCCAAACATGACAGTTGATTTTACAAGCTTTGACATTGTATCAGGTTGTGTCCAGTTGTGACTAAATCAATCCTACTGTGTAGTAAATAAGCAATTTGTTTTATTTTATTACTTTATGTTTCGTAATTTAACGTCAGAATTACAGCTAAACATATCAGTCTTCAAGAGAATATTGTCTTTTTTCTTTGCAAGCCGCCTACAATGATAAAAAATGGAATTTCATTTGATTCCGGTATGACCAAAATCAAACGCCATTTTGTTATACTTGCGGATGTTCGCGATGTTGGGTTGCTGTGTTTCCGGTGATGAATAAAAATCCAATAGTTATAATGTTATTTTTGTGCGTGTCTCTCTCTCTCCTTCTTGACAGCCCATTTATCACTTCATTTCTATTTAGATAAATGTGTCGTGCAGAAATCATTATCGGTATATTTGTGTACACTTTTCTATATTCTAGAAGAAAAAGTATTTCATTATCGTAATGATGAAAGCATACAGAATATGACTAGAAATATCAACCGGAAAAGGGGTAATTGTTTTCAAAATTCAACATCGTAGATTTGACGCCTTCTTGTAGGAAACCTTGGTTAAACAGAGAGATTAATAAACGTATATCAGGCAAGGAAATAAAGTAGCCAATCCGATTTTATCGGCTAAAAACACAATAAATTGGCTTGTTTCAATTATTTTTTTTTTAAAAAATGCATCAAATTAAGAAAGTGGTTCATCGTCAACGGTACATCAGCCATGTACCAGTCTTTTTTTTTTTCATTTTGTATCCTCATGAAGAATCTCTTGCACTGAAAGTTTGTGTCAAAGATGTTTACAATGGCAATGTGATATGAACGTTCTGACACGTTTCTCAAACTTATGCATTATATATTACTTTTTATTGAAGAAATATGAAAATGCGACATAAACGTCGAAAAAATAATAACCTTTTCTCTTAACAAAAAAAAAATTGCTCGCTGAATTCCTGGAAGTATTTTCGTGTCGCCCCGTTGCAATGAATCCAACAAAATTCTTCTTGATCTCATATCGATTTTCTTCGCTTGTAAAAATGAAATTTTAATGAACAGCATTGCAAATGACAGCTATTTTGTTGCAAAGGTTGTATCCATAGACGCGTTTAAGTAAAACGTAAACCAGTTTCAATATTGTCTGCTCTTGATAAGTGTGCCAATTTTACAAAAAGAAAAAAGATTTCCAAGAAAATTGTGTTTTCTCTGAAGATCATGCTGGTGCGAAATTGGGTAAGTGATATGGTTAAAGTCTTGCTGGACCAAGAATAAGAGAATGTCATCAAAAATTGGGAAGTAATTTAAGCTACACGCACACGTCTTTCGCCTACGCGTCCGGTTCGATACCATATAGAGACGTGCAAAGATATGGGGTCATCTGCCCGATCACACAAGCTTGAAAAACTTGTTTTGCAATTGTTGTAAAGTCAATCAAGTTTCAACAAACTCATGATGTCTGCAGTTTGCAGAGCTTCCTGGAAAATATATTTGTTAAATCTCTTCACCAGCAAAAACTAGGAAGTCAAATCAAAATGTTCTCGCCTTGAGAGGCCGTTCTCATTAAGAAAACTAGCAAACTCTCCATGAACGGTTCACAATATTCTAAAACTCTGTAAAATGATATCCGTTTATAAGAGACCAACTCTGCCATTACAACAATCCTATCAAGGGACCACCTTTTTAAAGCGGTCAATCCCAGTTCAGGACTACTTACATTATTGAGTCATCAATGACCTCTTAAACTGTTTCATTTCTTTATCATTCTAGAATTAAGTGTCTTTCAAAATGTATTAACCCTCTGCAGACCACATTGAATAAGGCAATACCATACTAACCAATTTTTACTTGTAGACGTTACCAATTCACTCTGAAGCTTATATAAAGTCGTCTGCATAATGGAAGCTTATGAAAAGAAATAAAACAGTAAGCAGAAACACTAGTAATAACAGATTCCGTCAATTATGGCAAAGCACTTGTCAGTTCTCAGCTTTACTTTGTATCTGTCTCTTTGGTCATATTATTGATCTTTCCAAAGCCGATAATAAGAGGTAAAATGCACAAGACAAATAAAACTCGCAATCGTTGAATGACGGAGTCTTCGTGGAATCTGATATTCACAAGTTTCCCCTTCACTATTAGGTATTGTGTGTGTATGTGTATTCCAAGTAGGTTTATCACTCAAACCCACGTGGTCTGCCAGGTGACGTTAATGATATGGAGGCTCTTTCTCGAATGTATGAGTTCCAGGGTACTCTGGTTTCCTCCCTACAATAAGACCCCCTCGTACGCTTCAATCTGGACCAGTAAGAGTGATTGATATAGCATGAGAAGACTTGCTTCGCAACTGTTTTAAAATAATATAGTTTAATCTTTAAAACAAACATGAAGTGTATAAAGCATAACAGATACTTTGCTATTGTATGTTTAACCACTGGTGGTCATTCATGGTAATTACTTGTCATGTGAATAACACTAGCAAAGGAACGATAGAAAAAACTAATCCTCCAGAGCACACTCAATGATCAAAGATAAAGAATATATTAACACTATTTTAAAATCCAGTCAACCTTCACGAGATCCAATCATTATGGGTAAGGTTATTTTTTTACATCATTTGCAGTTTCGTTCAAACAGTCGAAATGAGAGAGTATTACACTGTCCATTATGGAAATTTCTGTTGCGTTATATCACTAACAGTGGTATTAAGTAGGCTTTGATATTTTGTCTTTTCTTTAAGATGATAACATATTTCTTTCGTTCTTTCCAGATTTTTTCTTAGAACATGTATATACCTTACCGTTCCTTTATTGTATACCGTGTACCAATATCGAAATGTCACATTACTTACTTGGGTTGACCAATATTGACTTGGCGGTTGTTGTCGATATGCACAACACCTAGTCGCATTTCTCCTTGTAATTTTTATTGAATTTGAGTTTGGAATTATGATTATGATTCTAATGGCAGGTTGATATTTCCTTTGTTTTTTGTTTTCTTCTTATTATTATTATTATTATTATTATTGTATTACAAACAATGGGTTTCCGATGAACGACATGACATTAAGACTCATACATACGAATTTACCTATCTTGAATACTATGTAATAGAATGATAGTTGTGTTTTAATAAGACCAATTTATCGAGTAAGACTTTTCATTCATGCTTTAAGCTTGTGTAATGTATTGAAATATCTTCCTATAAGAGGCTATGAAATTAAATCAATATAATATTCTTTATTGCAAAAACAATAAAATTCCAATGTGAATCCATTAATGTTCGTTATTCAAAAGAAAAAAACTATTATCAACGATAATGATATTTTTGTTTACATAATGGGCTCGTTTTCTCGTTAATAATCACTCACAATAAGTTAATAGACGGTGTCAATTATTTAGAGTGGATGTTAGCCTTGTTTTGAGCTACTTAAGGTCATAGGTCAACAGCCAACAGTCACCGACAACAGTCATCTGTAAGACCATGTTCTTCCTAACTTTTATGCAATCTATCTTAGCAGTAAGTCGTAACAAATGAGAAAAAGTATTACTGAATTTAAACACCACAGCTGGTTATACTAATATTAAGCTCTCTCTAGTAGCTGGAATTATTTTCGAAACCAAAAATTAGGACAAGTCACTCAAGCGACTTGCCGTGTCTCTCAGAGATAGAAGTTAAACCAGATGGTTTTTATTGTCAAGGTAATTTTGAATAGCAAATGTATAGTAAACATGTAAATATGTGTACATGTAGGAATTAAGTTTATTTCCATACAGACAGTCAGACAAACAGAGTTATTTGAAGTCTTAACGCGGTATTATTTAGGCAGTCAACCAGACCCAAATGTGATTAAGTTAGTTTAAAGCAGCACGGGAGGCATATCGTTAGCCAAATATATTAATCAATAGTGTCGAAAATTCCCAATAATCATAAATAATGTAGGTGTTTCCAGCAATTAAGTCGATCTTTATCCGTTTACTGCCTGTGTTACCTTACCGGGGAGATCTTACAGGTATTGCAATCGTTCCATGTTCGAAAACACGGTTGTTAGAGTTACGGGTTATATTACTCTACAATGTAATAACACTTAAAACGTTGTGCAAAGTGTACATATTGTAATGGTATTTTATACAATATCATGATGTTGTTGGTATTTAATACAATGATATGATACTGGTGGTATTTTATACTATAAATATGGAACTGTGGGTATTCTATACTGAACACGTGGTACTGTTGGTATTATATACTGAACACGAGGTACTGGTGCTATTATATACTGAACACGTGGTACTGGTGGTATTCTATACAGGACACGTGGTACTGGTGGTATTATATACTGAACACGTGGTACTGGTGCTATTATATACTGAACACGTGGTACTGATGGTATTATATACTGAACACGTGGTACTGGTGGTGTTATATACTGAACACGTGGTACTGGAGGTACTATATACTGAACACGTGGTACTGGAGGTATTACACACTGAACACGTGGTACTGGTGGTATTCTATACTGAACACGTGGTACTGGTGGTATTATATACTGAACACGTGGTATTGGTGGTATTATATATTGAACACGTGGTACTGGAGGTATTACATACTGAACATGTGGTAATAGTGGTATTATACACTGAACACGTGGTACTGGAGGTATTATATACTGAACACGTGGTACTGGAGGTATTACATAATGAACACGTGGTATTGGTGCTATTATATACTGAACACGTGGTACTAATGATATTATATACTGAACACGAGGTACTGGTGGTATTATATAATGAACACGTGGTACTGGTGTTATTATATAATGAACACGTGGTTCTGGTGGTATTATATACTGAACACGTGGTACTGGTGGTATTATATAATGAACACGTGGTACTGGTGGTATTATATACTGAACACGTGGTACTGGTGGTATTCTATACTGAACACGAGGTACTGGTGGTATTATATACTGAACACATTGTACTGGTGGTAATGGTAAACATTGCAGACATCGCACAAGTTAGGCCATGACTGCAAAAAGTTTACTTTTTCCAAAAATGTTTGGACTATTTATAAGATCATAGCAGAAATTCAGTGAAAATAAGTCACTTGCATTATTTTACCGCAAGATGTATTGCTACATTTAAAAACATGAATGTGTTGTGTAAAGCTGCTGATGTGATGCGGATGTTCTCACAGCGTGCAATTAGAACTATTCAGTTCAATATTCGTCATAGCCGTGGGCTACGTGTAGGCAGGTGTTAAGGGATTTATGACAAGTGAGCAAAATTAGGATTAAAGATCATTTGACAAGTGACCTTTAACAAATAGGTGCGTTCGTCTCAATATCTATTTAAATCAAATCCTGTATCACGCGAGATTACTTGAAACATTCATACAAGTAGGAGGCAACTTGATATTTTTACAGTACCAATTAAATATCGCAAATCTGATGAAAACTTAATTACGTTCAGGTGAATAATATCAAAGATTCACATTATGTGTACACAATCAAAATACTGAATTTAATTAATCTCATATGTACGTTGTTGTTGTTGTTGTTGTTGTTGTCGTCGTCGTCGTCGTCGTCGTCGTCGTCGTCGTTGTTGTTGTTGAACTTAGAGTTTTGCTTAGTTTGGAATAATTTCATAAATCATTAAATGACACTTTACCGAGATATTTTTTATATATTTTGGGGCATGAGGGGAGGGGGGGTCCCTGTTTCGTGCGTATGTAAAGTAAGTAAATGATAAATACTTACGTAGGAAATCATTGGTAAATTCCACGCTGTAGCAACAGTGGCCTCAATAGCGCACGTGCCATCGGGCCCTATAAATCCGAACGTGCCATTTATGTACTGATTTGTCATGGCCTGAAGGGAATCCATTGTGTTGTCCTGTGTGTCTGCGAACAAGGTTTCCAGCGAATATCCAGGCAACAATTTCGTTATGTTGTTAACATCTTTAATGGCCTGAAAATAGGCTCCCCCTATCCACTTGCCCTGACCCTGTCCCCAAACTGAGGTGAGAAAAGACATCTTCACCGTCCCGGGGCTCATTGTGGGGGAGGCCAAAAACCCTTTCGCGTCCACACATCCCACAAAAACGGTTACACAAAGGCTCATCCAACGCCACATCCTTGTTAAATGTCAGAGTTGAAAACATTAATAACTCCGAGATAAAACTTCCATGATGTCCAAGCACTCTGTTATGATACCACGATTGAACACATCGCACTACAGTCCTGTTCTGCGGTCATGATTTCCCTAGCATCTGTGAATGAAGAAAACAGTGTGTTAAAACCTTATCTGTGATTCTACTACTGATGCTCTGGTACCATTGCTTTTGGTAATACTTGCTAAACAGTCCACACCAATACACTGTCGATATAATAACTCACCTCTGTGTTTGTTGTCACAGAACAAACAGTTCACAGATAGATATCTATGAGTGTTAGCCCTTAAATATAGCTCGTTAAAACTTGAAATATATGTGTTATTGATTCCCGATAACACTTTAGCGCTCTTTACAATACATATTTACTTCGGGTCTTGTTACTTCAATCGCCGACAAATGGCCGATCGCCTCCTCTTTTCCTTGAGCAAACATCCTGCCACACTTATTAAAATCTCGTCTTAAATCAGAATAGAAAAGAACCCGTTCAGCTCATTCCAGATGGTAAACGGAAAACATTAACTCATAACGAGTAAAAACAATATTATTGAACTGGTGAAATCCACTGTTCGTTTGGCAGGTATTGTTATTTCTGTGTGAGGGCTTTTTGTTGCATACTACCAAGCAGCTACGATTGGATAACACCACCCTAACATCGAACATATCACTGTTAGCTCTCGTGCTATCAGGAGAAGACTGATTATGATAATTTACCTTGTCTAGGAAGAAGATCGACAGATATCTGATTTCGATAGGCGTTTTACAGTAGGTAAAAAAAAACAGCATAATATACTGAGTCATTCTATAAACTTTGTAAAAAAAAATATTTATTTCATAACAAAAAAGAAACAAGTTCTATATTCAAATACATTTTTTTTTACTGTGGAAGGTAAAATTGAATCCGAAGGGAACACAAATGGACGTGCGCGTGATTCCATACCAATGTTTTAAGTTGTAAAATCATGAAATGAAGAAAATGAAACGCAAAGCGGGTATCAGGTTGTACCGTTGTTATTATAACTCTCATTCAACGTGATTCATTAAACACAAAAACATAATATTTTCACTCAATATATAGACTTCGTATTGGCATATATAGGTATCAAACCTATCCATAAAGTTAACAGTTATAGAATCTATTGCCTTACTGATGTCACTCATAAAAAGATAGCAAGCCATGATAAGGGTGATAAAAACAAAATGGTCATGTTAGAAAGCATATCATATTTGAGATAAAATCCATTATTTTTTCTCATATTTCATATGATGTGACTCGATGAATTTCGGGCAACTATCTAGGAATCTTACGTAGAGCACATCCTTCAAAATTATGTACAAAGCTTCATCATATTCATTTTGTCATCAATTTTGAATTCATCAGTGTTTTCGGGGCGGGGGAAAAGGGGAGTGGGGGCTAATGAGTGAACACGTTGTATGGGAGTTTATGTATTTAGGTCAATAGGTCAGTATAAATGTTTAGAATTTGATGGACAGGTGCCACGATCCCTGTACAAATAGTGATATAAAGATAACCGGCATTGCCGAGGGATTTGAATGAGTGATCAAAGTGATAGATATGTACCTAAGTAGCGTATAATTAAAATTCTCAAAATAGATATCTGTGTCAAGAAAAAAGGAATATCCAAATCAGGCATTGCTTGTGATATCTTGATGTAAATATTTGCACATATGAGCATGGGACTACGGACAAATTTGTGTGGGTTTTAAAGAACACACGAATATTTCCATTTCCACGTTATGACTTAAAGAGAGAGAGAAGAGACAGAGACACAGACAGACAGACAGACAGACAGAGAAAGAGACAGAGAGAGACGGAGAGAGACAGAGAGACAGACAGACAGACAGACAGACAGAGGTGTAAAACAATAAACCTACAAGAGATTGCTAATGTTTAAATGGTCACATCACAACATCATCACGTCATACTGACGTCCACTATTACAGTATGACGTCATACAAGGACATGAAATAAGAAAACAGATAATTAGATGCCAGTCATTCTAGGTCTTTCCAAGGAATTTCCGCTTTCGTAAATATTTGAAATAAAGTAAAGTTTTGAAATTAACCATTTTTTCGGGGAGAGGATTTCATTCCACATGAGACTTTACATCTCATCATATGATCGCTCATCTTACAGAATATCTCAGACTTATCAATTCCACTCACGTGAACAAAACACAATTATAATTTCTTGACGATTTGTGGGATTTTTTTCAGTTGGCATAGATTTTATCGGGTAAAATGTTATTTGTAATCAAAACAAGAATAAATATTGCGAAAAACCTGGTTTTGATAGTTCCGAAACACATATCTCTCGCATTCCCTGCATCAATACAAAACACATGTATAGTAAGCTATCGTTTTACATATATACGTATATAGATATTGATGATATGTCATCGCATAAATCATTGATTAAATTACCCACAAAATGAAATCCTTTAATTTCTCAATATGCCATTATCATAGAAATCCACGATCACGTCATTAGAAATTCAATAGCATCTACACGTTGTAATGATCGCATACTATATGCTGCTCGCTTTTGTTGAAGAAAACCTAGACACACAAGTCACATCAGTAATATTTGCTCAATATAGATATTAAGTGCCATGAGAACAGAGCGCATTGTTCAATATCTTTGTTATATATGTCCACCCACATAACATTGCTTTCATCAAATCATTTGAATAATTGGCAAAATTATCGTATTTCAAAACAACATTGTTCAGCATTATTTAAGCATTTTTCAATAATTAGAAATAATTGTTCGTGTTATACTGAGCGCAAAAATACCAAAACAAAGCCTACATGTATGAAAGAACAGCTTGAAGTCGTATTGAATTCTACAATGATAAACTGATACCGTTTTTCTGGAGGTATGATCATTTCCAAAGCATGTTGTTATATTAACTGTACAAACACTTAAGGGTAATTAGTTTACAATGACGTTGAGGTGTGTATTACGCTCAAACGACGATTTGTCAGATTTGCAAAGAAACATGCGAAAAAAAGTTTATTTCATAATGGTTTATAGCAATCGATTACACAATAGTTCATATTACATTACGACAACCAGTCATTTAAACAAGGGCAACATATGAACAAAATAGATATTTACAAGGTGACACGTCAAATAGTGCAACATGCATGAACCCTAGGTGCTCCGGAAGGGAACATATGTTGTGCTTCTACAAGATAGAATGACATATAATATAATATAATATAATATAATATAATATAATATAATATAATATAATATAATATAATATAATAATATAATATAATATAATTAAGAACATTATTTATATATATATATAAAGGTTCTGAAATAAATTTTCTTTTGTGTGGGTTTGTATTAATTATCAATAAAATTAATCTTCGACATTTTCTTATTTTCAGCTTGCGAAGCACGTTCTAACGACAACACACGCGCGAAGAAAAAAAAAGTGAAAATTTTCACATATAATGAACTTGTGACATGGAAGGGAAATCCCCTGAAATGCTTTGCGCCAATGGCGGATAGCAACTTTTCGGATATAGCAACCATTAATCACGTTTGCAGACAACAAGAGTTTGGCTGAACGAGACAATGCGATTAGTATTATACTTGGCAAACATACAGACATTGCCCGAAAGGATAGACTAGTGAAAACAAAACACCATGAACAAGTTAGGGACACACAAAAAGAAAAAGAAGAAAAAAAAAGAAAAAAAAAACAAATCTTCAAGGAAAGAAAAGTTTCTTAAACATTATATTAAATTATTGTTGTCGCCAAATGAAATACATAAGTTATAATACTACCCTCGCTCCAAATGGCTTTGTCATTATTCGTATTAAGGCAAGCAAGACCTAAATCTTCGAGGCAAAAGTCATATATAATGTATATATCATATAAAATTAAAAACAAAATTTTAACACTTTTTTTATTACACTGCTCACAAAGGTTAGATTTCGGGGCCAAAATATGGAGGACCAAATCAAAGGCGGCCATTTTGTTGCTCCGTTTTCATTTATTGATGTCACATTGTTTTCCATATAATGACATCACTATCGATTTTGACAGGCGCAGCCAATGAAAAACGATTCAGAGTATATAACACGAGTGACAAACGCCAAAATGTTACATGGGCTAATTCACTGGATAACAGACCAATTATCTAAGTAAGAGTTATTCTCAATCAATAAATCTCTTTATCTCACAATAATGAATCATTTTAGAAGGAATTTGCGATCTTTTTTGCTGGCAAAAATTTGAGTAATTGATTGGGAGATAACAAGTGATTTGTATGGTTAAATTTCACACTACTTGTTAATTACACTGTCATCCCTATAGTCCTGATAATAACTCAGATTGCCAGATACATTTCCTTCGTATTCTTATCTCCGAGCTTAGCTGCTATACATTCCGTTTAACCAGCGATAGGCAATGTGTTAGCAGTGAACTCCACACTTTATATAAAACAAACGCCCCTGTTTATATATAGCCACCGACCAACATCGAGCTTGGACGTTTAAACTGCTGTCCTCCCATGATTTGAAAAATGAACTTACCCCGTTCTAAAAAAATGGAATATTCTACAAAGGGATAAAAATATTGATGAGTTTCTTCCAAATAATAGCAGTAAATGAAATTTCTGTGCTAAAAGTGTGAGATTTCATTTTTAAAAAATCGTCTTGTACACGAATATGAGATAATTTTAGATCAAGGAATTCCACGACAAATCTCCAGAATGATGCTTTATTTCATAACTAGCATTCCAGATTTTTTTATTTCATATATATATATATATATTTTTTTTTCTTTAGCAAAGGAATGGTTTGTTTCGGAAAAACATCCAACAGGTTTTTATAAAACCAATCAAGCCACCAAGCTCAAAAAAATAGATACACCGTTTAATACATAAACATAATGGCTTTTCTCCTAAACCAGGTTGGTAG